GGGCGTGCGGGTGCGGCAGGGCGGCGCCTCACGCGGCGTGGCCCGACGTGACAGCCTCAAGGCGTGCTCGAATCAAAGGTCAAATGAAAACTCAAAGTTCGATGTCCAGAATTGCGCCTGCAACGCTCATGCAACAGGCGAGGGCACACATGACTCAGGGAATAGCAGGGTGGCAACTGACTCATCAACCTGATCAAGAGCTCAGGGTCTCAGCACGCGCCATGCACCCACCGCGTATGTGCCTGTGACAGTATCATAGATGCTCGACACCTCGCCGCGGCCGTTGGGCGACATGCCCGGCTGAGGGGCCACGCCATTTGGCAGGCGGCGCGACCACAAGAGCACCTGCCAGCCAAAGGCGGGGAAGGGGGGGCGGGGGGCGCGAGCGTTGTGTGCCAGGCGGGGTTGCAGTCGCCATAATTTGTTTGCCGCAGGACTCCCCTGCGCGTGCCTGTGTCGTCGGATGCCGGGCCGAACGGCCCAGGAGAGGGGGGAGACACGAATACGTGGCACGCCCGCGTGACACCGGACGGCCCGGGCCCCGCGGGGCGCGAGCAGCTGCGCCGCAGCGGCGCTTGCTGCAGGGTGGGCGTCTGTATGGATGACAAAAAGAAGGCGAACGGTCTTTGTGCTCAACAAGGGGATCACGAAGTATCCGCCGCAGGCGCTTTCAGGGATAGGCGCGCCCCCGCAGCTCTCACCTGGTCGGTCGCAGGGATGAGGGCGGCGTGCATGGCGACAACCCCGGTGCTGGAGAGGCCTGCGCACGCATGCAATAGGTAGGGGGGGTCAGGGAGGGGAGGGCGTGGGCGTGGGCGTGGGGGTTGGCGGAGGGGGGGTGGTGTGAGGCAGGGGAGGGTTCCGCCCCGGCGGCGCCCGGGAGGCGGCCGCCTCGGCCTTGATGTTGGTTCGAGGGCCGCCGCCGGCAGGGGTGAGCGGCGCATCGAGGCGCCGGCGGCGCGGGCTGGCGCCTCGGGCCCGGCCCAGGGTCCGAAATCCAGAGCAGGAGGCCGGCACGGGCGGCCAGGCCTCGGGGCGGCAGCACACACAGGGCCTCGGGGCGGCAGCACACACACTTGACCGGCTGGCGCCTCACTGGATCCCAGCAAGCCGGGATCGCCGCTCTTTGCCGCGCGGCCTGCCAAGCCCCCCCTTCCAGCCAGCGCAGGGGCGGGTTCAACGCTTGCCGATTTTGAGTGTCTGATTGTCTGAATGAAAAACTGTCGTGCTCACCGTTGGGCGCCGTCAGCAGCTGCCAGAGGCCGGTGACTTCGGGGCCGCCCTGTGTGCAGCGAGCAGGGGTGCGCCGACGTGAATTCATGCGCATGACCCCCCCTTCCCACCAACTGCCCAGATTTCAGCAATAGGGTTTAGGGTTTAGGGGTAAACCCTAAACCCAGCATCGAGACGTAAGCGACCGCGTGCGCAAATGGTGCGATTTGCACAACTCAATTCACCCGGGTGGCACCGGACGCGCGGGCCGCGCGCACCTTCAGGGGCTGCAGTGCCGCGAGGGCGCCGGCCAGCAAGTTGAGCGGCCGCGTCACCGACACCCGCGGGGGCAGCGGCTTCGGCTTCTCTTTCGGCTTCTCCTGCGGCTTCTCCTGCGGCTTCTGGGCAGCTGCCGCCGCGGCGGGGGCGGCGGGGGCGGTGCCGTTGCCAACGCTCGTGCCGTTGGCCGCGGCGGCGGGCTTGCCGTTGTTGCCCGCGGCGGGGGTGTCGTGCCGCGTCTCCGCCGAGGCCATGTCAGCGCCGCTCATGTCGTCAGCGCCGGCATCCTCTGTAAACGTGTCGGCGGCCTCTGACGCTGTGTCAACGACGGCGTCGGCGGAAGCCGCCGGGCCGCCGCGGCGGCCGCCGAGTGTGGGGAGGGGGACCAAGCCGCGGGTCTTGGGGACGACGGCGGCGGCTGCTGATGTGAGGTTTGCCAGGGAGACATTTGGGATCAAGGCCGGGAGGGCAGGCGCCTGGCCGTTTGCAAGCGCTGGGATGGCGGGCGCCTGGCCGTTCGTCAGGCCTGGGATGGCGGGCGCCTGGCCGTTTGCGAGGGCTGGGAGGGCGGGCGCCTGTCCATTTGCGAGGGCTGAGATGGCGGGCACCACGCCGGCTGCCGCGGCTGGGAGGGCGGGCGCCTGGCCGTTCGTCACAGCGTTTGCCAGGGCTGAAATGGCGGCGGGCACTGCGCCAGGTGTCGCGGCTGGGACGGCGGGAGCCTGGGGGGTGTTGAACTTGGTGACTGCCGCGCACACCTGCGGGGCGTAAGAGTGACGGGGCATCGGGCATGTGTACATGCAACTGCTGGGATGCGTACTGGACGCGTGCGAGTGCAATGCTTGTTTGGCGTAAGGGGAGCGAAGTGGCCGAGGCGGTTGGCGTGGCCTGGGGATTTTCGAGGTTGACAAACCAGGAGGATATATAGGTGAATGATACATCGTGCGAATCGATCAGATGCGCTCAAACAGCACAAAAACGCCCATTGCAAGCCTCTCAAAACGGCCACCCCTGGTGTCCACATTGTGGACACGCGCCGGCAGCGCGTCGTCATTGGTCAAACGGCGTCACCTGCTCCGCCCACTCCGTCGTCACCGGCGTCGCCCCGGCCGCGGGGCAGGACATGCTGAGGGTGCTGAGCAAGCCCTGGACCCTGCGGTTTGCAAAATCAAGTGGCAGCGGCGGCGGGGCGGGCGATCAACGGGCCGGACGGGCGGCCGTCGGTCATGCGACAAAACCATGGGCCACTGTCGAGTCGACTTTTGCACGATTAAAAGGAAACCAGGTAGTAAAGGTGCATTCTTCCTGTTTGTGTGTAATATGTGGTGCGTCATGGCAATCGGGGCGCCTGCATTTGCGCGTGTCGCCCAGGAACCGCCTTCCCAGTGCATACAATCGCTGATAATTCATCCATCTGCAAGACCCCAGGCTGACGCGACAAGAGTGGTGAAGCTGCCGTCATTGCTGCCGGTCGGACTCAGGTGGTGACGGGGCTGCGACTTGAGTCACCTGGTGCAGCCGCCGGTGATGGGTGAGTAGTAGCTGTTGGTGGCGGTGGCATCAGAGTAGGCCTGGTTGAGCCGGGGGTGGTGTGGGTGGAGGAGGTAAGGGTAAGGGTGGGGGTGTTGGGTGAGGTTGGATCCAGCGGCAAAAAGAGTCGCGCGATTGCCGATGCAACCGCCATCACCCGGAGTCGCTCGTGACCCCTGAACTTGCAGCCGCGCGGCTCAGTGGCCGCTGTTTTTTGACCAACTGCGTGCCACCCCAAACCCCGCATCTGGACCACATTGCGGCGATATCAGGTAATCTGAATGTTGAATCGGATCGAGGTTGTCGCGTGTGAAGCAGTTGAATGTTTCCTGTCATTGAGCCCAGTAAACGCGAACAAAAAAACCCAAGGGGGCCGCACCATGTAGGGCATGGGGGAGGACGGCACCCTGCATGCGTAGTGCACGGCCTGCCCCTGGCAGCACACAAAGTACTGGTTGCAGCTCTGGGGGTCGGGGACCTGTGGGTGTGGGGTGCGGGGGTGGGACGGGGGCGGGGTGGTCGGTTGCCGCGAGGGCGAATTTCGGGGAATGCATACCAGCGGCTTGGGCGCCGATTGGTTGGAGGAGCACACAACAATGGCGCCTCAAGCGCGTCCAAAACGCCGAAAATGTGGCCCTGGTGTCGGCAGACCTAGTGCTTTGCCATTTTGAGGGTGCACCCGCCCCGCGCAGCGCGCGTCAAGTGGAGCGCCCAGCCCGCACCCTCGGCAGGGCTTTGGACGAGTCCCCCCTCTGCAGAGCCCCGACCTCAGTCACAACGGGAAAAGCTGCGGCCTGCAACCCCTTATAGATGCCAAACGTACGTGGCACGCCCCCTCCCGGTTCCCTCTCCTTTCCGCTACCCGCTGCTGCCGCCATGGGTCCCTGCCCCCGCCCGCCCTGGGGGCCACAGCCCATGCGCTCCATGTGGGGCTGCTCGCTCACCTGGACCAGATCGAGCAGCTGCCCATCAACGTTGCAGGGGCCGGCGCCCGCGTGGCGCAGCCCAAGGGGATCCCCGTCAGCGCCGCGCAGCTGGTGGGGGTCGCCGTCGACGGGTATGCCGTCGCCGAGCGCGGCGGCCGCGAGCGCGGCGGCCACGGCCGCGTGCAGCAGCAGCCTGCTCAAGCTGCTATTCGCTCGGGTCATGCTGGGGAGCGGCTGGAGACGACTAGGAGTTGCAGTCGACCAGGAGGACTTCGAAGGTTGAACGAAGATCGACTAAGTGATCACAGGAACGAGCTGGGTCGTTTTACTGAGACAGAATTCTTGGACGCATCGCCATCGGTCCGTCATTTGTTTGTAGGCACCCAGCCGAGTAAAAATTGAGGCGAAAGCCGGTCCAAGAGCGGTCACGTTGACCCCCTCGGAGGGTCGAACGAGCTCCTGTTAGCAGGCTTTAAAACGTTCACCCTGCAGTGAGCATTAGGGTGAAATACACAGATACAGGGGGCACACAATGAGGCAGCATCCGACATGGGACACAAAGGGGGACGCGCCTGCCGACAAGCGCTTTCAGAGGGCCTGCAATTCAATCTTGCCCACGGTGCAAATGCAACATATCGGCAGTGCTACAATTTCACACTGCAATCATGATTCCTGCCCACCAAATCATTCGGCGTCCGCCGCAGCCGCGGCAGTTCTCATGCACCAACCAGGGCGGGGACGGGGCATTTGCAGGATTGCTGCAGCGGGCAGGAGGGGTGCGTTGTCGCATCTATGCATTTACACCGCAGTATATCACAATACCAAACATATGATGAGCCGCTGTCCGCGCGAGCTACATGGGAAGCCTGCGCCGCAGCTCCAAGAGCAAGCCTGCAGCTGCCACATCGTTGAGTTCACCCGCGACGACGGCCTGCCCGGGCGCCGCAGACGCGACCCTCCTCACCTCCGGGTGCGGCTGCCTGAGCTCAAAAACTTGGGGGCTGCAGACTCTGGCCGGTGCCTGACTGTGCGCTAAGTCGTCCCTGAGTCGGGCGAAGCTGTTGGTGGCCGCTGGTGCTGTGCTGCGGTGGCCCCGTTGATCCTGCCCGGCTGAGCGATCTTCAGCATGTGTTGCCGAGCTGATGTGATGAGCAGCTTGTTTATTCACGAGGCTGTGAGAACCTGAGCGCTGGGGCCGCTTTGAAGATGGGTCCCTGAATGTACAGTGTTGCCACTTGCCAGCTGGGCGGGCTGGGCGGTGCAGGATGCTGCTGGCTGGCACTCCCGATGCAGCGGTGGTGCAGCAGCATCTCATGTCCATGACAGCGTGTAGAATGAATCGCGCAATTTCATTTGAATGTACGAGTCGAGGCGGTGGATCTGCGGGCACTCCGCCAGATCACTATCATAATACTCAGATACCGGACGAGTGAATTCCTGGTCATCGTTTGCTACAATGTGCTGTTTTGCAGGCGCCTGATACCGTGTACGGCACACAGCAAAGTCTACTGACCGAAGGCTTAATTGGCACTGCAGCTAGCCAGCCCGCAGCACGCTGACTCAGGTGCGCCTCCGCTGCCCTGTCTTGCACGCACGCTGTCACCTCGCGCACACTTTGCGCACGCCTTTGCCCATCAGCGTGGAGGCGTTATCCGATGGGCAGCGCTGCTGCGGCGGTGGCCGTGCTGCACATGAAAGACAGTCAGCCCCAAAGTTTGACCACGGGTCACGCGCGGCGCCCTAGATCGACCCGAATTGGTGAAAATGCCCTTTTGCATCCACACGTAAGTATACCGTCTTTGATTGATCCAAGATGTGCTTCAATCCCAGCTGCCTCCTGAGAAAGCTGCCCCTTGCGGGCACCTCACCAGTTGTTTGCGTTGATTGTTACACAGCCAGTTCGCGCAACGCAAAACCACCGCAAAGGGCTTGCAAGCTGCACCAGCACTGGACACAGGGTTGATGACGCAGCGGTCACGTATCTGTAAAACGTATTTGAAGCGCTCTGATCCTTTTATATCAATCACAGCAGAGCGTGCAAGCAACAGCCAGTCCTACTAAGCAACTGGCACGGCAAAGGCGAAAGATTTTGTGCACGTGATTTCAGATGATGTGAGCAAATTAGTTATGCGCCAAGGCAGGCCAGATAGGCGGCCACGGAGACCTCTGCAGGGTAGACAAACATCGACCGCCTTGCTCATGGGCTCTGGGCGCCGACTGCCGCACTTGGCTCGCTTGCTTGATCAAGCCCCATGGAAACGGGGTGCTGTTGTATTGTTGTAGTAATTTGGAGTTCTGTAACCCCTTCTGGAATGCTGCAAACCCCTCAGGCGATCCCGAATCTTGCGGGCCCGACAACAAATTCAAACCCCTGGTGCGCCATTGGGCAGTGCGAAAACCCCAAACCCTAACTGCGTGCTTGGCCGCATCGCGGCTGCCTTAGAGGCGACTTGTGATGATCACATGATGATCTTATGCCGTCAGCAGGATCCACGAGGCCTTGGTGCAGGGCAGGTCGCCATTGAGGAGGAACAGCATGTACCTGCCAAGGAGGGGTTTTGGGCAATTGTGGGTCGGCACAGGAATCACACATCGGACGTCGTAAAGTTTTGGCTGAGGCACATCCGAGCTAGCCCGGCGGGCCTCATGCACAAGCGGCTCGACGCCAACGACAAGAGCGAGTGTGTTCTGAGGCTGTTTGCCGGGAAAATGATCGCTTTGCAGGCCACTGGGGTGTGCAAGCAGTTGAGAGGCCACACTTGCAGCGGCCGAAAGGGGGTGCGCGCGCGCTTGCAGGGGCGGGTAAGGGGGTGTCCTCACCAGCCGGGCTGCGCGACGTTGCCGCCAGGTGGTGGCATGGTGAGCGTGATCTCGCCGTTCTCGTTCTTGGCCACAGCCAGCTTGATGCCGCGCTGGTTCATGTTGAGCTGGAGGTTGTTGGGGGCAAGGGTGGGGGTGACGCAGTTGAGGGGTGATGGAGCTAGGGGATGCGATGCGAATGAAAGGCGGCAGCATGAAGACGGCCAGAAATCCTGGATGACCTGTGTGGTTGTGAGCACGGCTGGGTTTGCTGTTTGTGATTGGGGCATTCCGGACGTCTGAGGGGTCAAATCAAAATATGCAAGGCGTGGCTGATGGCAAACACGGCGTATCAAATGGGAAGGACTGCGGCTGCTGCAAGCCATCCAGACTCAAGGGATTCCCACACAAAGAATATCCTAGCCCCAAGCAGCAACATGGCCTACACACACGCGCGCAAGCACACAGACACGCACTCATACACACAAACAAATTCACAAACACGCACGTGCGCACCTGATGGGTGACAGCGCCCGGCGTCATCAGCACGGCGCCGCTGACGGTGCCGTCGTACGTCACCTTTACCTCGGACCCCATGGCAGCTTCCTCCGTCGACACGTCGGTGATGACGGGGCGGCCGGCGGCGAAGGCGTAGGGCAGCTTGAACAGCTCGGCCTGGTACTGGTGCAGCTGCGGGTTTCCAAATAATGAGGAGCGGGGGAGGAAATGGTTGAGAGGGTGTAGGGGTGATTGCGTGGGTTTAGAAATGGTCAGAGGCAAGGTGTTGGACACGCAAGGGCGCGTGAGCACTGATGCATGATACGAAGTGAGCATGCACACATGCGTGCAATCTGACTGGGCAATTGACCTCAGGCGCCACTTCACGAGCTTGACTGCGCAAAATCCACATCAAACACAAGATAAACATATATGTAAAAATTGCATGAACAGCAGAAAGCTCACCGCGGGGTTGAACTGGACACAGGCGTTGTAGCAGTCGTCTGAAGGGGCAGGCAAAGTGTAAGTCAGCAGCGGGAGAGTGGGTGTTGGAGACTGCTTACAAAGCTGAGGACGAGTGCACACGCGGCCCAGCAACAATCAGAGAGCGCTTTGCCAGGGCCCTGCACACGGGGCGGGTGTCGAACCAAACAGCGACCAGGCACACGTGACTTCACATCATGATCAACGGTGACACGAAGCTGCAAATGGGCACTCCAGCCACAGACCTTTATTCAAACCCTGAACCCTGAATGGAAAGACCCAGCCCCTCTCACTCTGCTCTGAGCCCATGACTAAGAGGTCCCCGCTGGGCAGCAGCATGGCGGTGGAGTGGTAGAAGCGCTTGATGGCGCTGGCAGCCAGGACGGAGAAGCGCCCGCCAGCAGGGGCCTGGGAGAGGGGTGAGGGGAAGCGAGCGCCGGCCGCGCGCGGGGTGCTTGTCATACGGGTGTGCTGCGCGGTACTAACGCTCACGCGCCGCCGCTGGCATGAGCAGGGTGGGCGGGTTGTTTCTGCGGCCGGCCCGCGGCGCCGGCCTCTTGGAATCGGCACCCATGCTACTGGCTTCTCCTGCGGGAGCTGCTCGTGTCCTCTTCTTTCACCCATGGACAAACAGCACTCAAACACTCACTAACGAGTGCATTCTTGCGACAATACATATTGCAACACCGCATGGAAATCCCTGAATCCTGCCAACCCCAGTGCCCCCCCCACCTTGGGATCATAGAGCCAGGCGTGGCCCTCCATGTCGCGCGCCTGCCCGCCACCGCCGGGGCCGCCATTGTTCGAGTTGCCGGACTGCGGTTGGTCGATTGGACGGAAGGCGGGTGGGCGGACGTGTGTGAACAGGAGTCAGTCCTGGGCACGCGTGCAAGATGCATGGGGTTTGGGATACTCACCCAAAGGAGGCCGCCCCAGGCTGAAAGAGAGTCTTGCAGCCATGTTGCCCCCATTTGGGCGACACCGGCCAGGGGTATCATGCTCGCCAGCCGGCAGGGGGGCCGCCTTTTGGTGCAGCCCCGAGTCAAATCAAGCAAGCCATGCACGTGCCGGCACCAACCAACCACAACCAAGTGTTGGCCCTGTCGGCCATCTCCCCATGACGTCACACACTCGAGCCAGGCACCACCAGGGGTCATCCCCCTCGTCATCACCTTTGCGCCGTTGACGAGGATGACCTTGCCGTTGGGCAGCAGGGTGGCGTCAACCATCACGCGGGGGCCTGTTTTTTTGGGGGGTGGAGCGGTTGAGATGGTCAGGGGTTGGTTGTGTGAAAGGCAGGGAGTGCGAGAATATGCAGGCGGGAGGACACGGGAGGGGCCAGATGGGTGGTCGGGAACACTCTATGGCACACATTCATAACGAACCCCCCACCCACCGGGCATCTGCTCGACCTCCCAGGCCATGGCGTTATTCAGCACCGTGTCCTTGTCCAGCTTGATGCGGTACGCCTGGGGGTTGTCAACAGGGGTTGGGCAGTCAGCAATCGTAGCAGAGGGTCAGATCAACAAAGAGGGTGTTTGACCGAGAACAAGAAAGAGGGTATCCAGGTCGATCGTTGATTCAAGGGTGAAGAAGAGCTGGCAGCAGACAAGTGAAGTCAAAGAGGTGCCATCAACAAGCCTTGTCGACAGCTGACCAGTCATTCAAGTTCGGCAGACGCGGGGTCGAGCCTTCGCTCCCCCGCCGCACCCTGTCGTTGGCGGGGACGTCGCAGGCGCAGGCACCTGGTGGGCGGGAAGGGAAGGGAGGGGCGTGGGAGGGCCAGTGGGGATCCGTGACACACATGGTCCACCAGGCACAAGGAGCGCCGCCAAGAGTTGCCATTGGGTCGGCAAAAACCACGACGCCCGTTGCACTTGTTGATTTGCTGCACACAAATAGAGAATGCGACGCGATGCATGCAATTTTTTGCAAGTTGTGGCCCAAAGGTAGTGCCAGCAGTGTCGGCACGTGAGATTATGATTTTCAGGGTTTAGCTCACCGCCGGTGAAGGTGGTGCCGCCAAACATGGCCACCTCAGCAGCATAGCCGGTATCGGGGTCAAGGGTCAGCAGGGTGTGGCCACCTGCAGCAGACATGGCGCTGCGCATACATGTTTGGAGGCCAGGCGGGCAGGGGTGAGAGGGTCAGGAGGACTGATCTCTTTGCAGCATTCCCCCCAAGGAGTGGCGGGATGAGCAAGCCACAGAGTCGTAGCCGCAACGCCAGTGGAGCCGCAGGGGTGCGACGTGACACGGGCGACACAGGTGTGGTATGGTGAGTCGTGCTCGCGCACGATGGACGGGCTGCAAGTAGCCGTACCTGGAGGCGCCCGGCGTGGGCCAGGGGGGCAGGTCCCTCAGAGCATTGACCTGGTTGTCTGGGCTGGCAAACATGACCTGGCATTGGATAGTGCGTGCGTGGCATGCAAGTGTGAGTCTATATATGTATGTATGTGTATGTGTGTATATATACTATCGGTGACTTGAAAGTGCATCATGTAGGAAATGTCTGGGCGGAATCAAGAGTCGTGAATCGCTATGGTGAGTAGCGTAGTGCTGCATTGGTAGTTTTGAGGTGGGCGTGTTGGCGGGGCGGG